ATATTTCAATGTGGTGCTTTAGATAACCTTAGATTGGTCCAAAAGTGCACCAGTCTTTTGAAATGCTTTTGAAAGCTAAGGGCGGTGGTAATCTGATTTTATTTTCCCTCTGAAAGTGCACCAGAGCCTTTCTTTTGAACGGCGTGTATCGAAGAATCCAAAAACGGGATTTTTTTTCTTATCAAAATGTACTTTGCAACCTCCAGGTCGATTTTTACCCTAAGTATGCATTAAGAATTGCTTTATCTGAATTATATTTAGCAGCCCAGGTCTAGGCTGATGTGGGACAGATTTATTTCTGGTGGGGGGAAAATAACTAAAAGGAAAATGGAAAAAAAAAAATCCGAGACAGAGGGTGGAAATTTCTTGTATATCATTCTGGCTGGGAAACTGTCTATATCTGTTTATAGGTGTGCTCGTGTGATTCAGCTGATGTGTGTGGGGATGCTGCTTCAAAATAGAGTGTGAGACTATTTTGTAATTGGAATATTTTGGTGGCAAGTGTCGTGGGAGCCCGAGGCGGCCATGGCGAGGCTAGACCCGTTAAGATGTGTTCATGGGGCGGATAGCAGGTTAAATACTGTTGAAATGTTAAACGCCGGCCGAAAACTTGAGAGACCCTTACTGGCAGGGGCAGGAGAGCGGGGCGGCCACAGAGCAGGGTGCCGTGCGTGGGGACGGGCGAGCCCAGCCTGGCAGCAGGTCCCCTCCCTGTGCCCACACCTTACCCGAACCGTGTTTAATGCCCACATCCACCATATCTGCCAGACACTGCACAGGAGGGGTCATGGCCAAGGGTACACTCTAACAGCCTGAGGTATTTTTGATTTTTTTTTTTTCTTCTTCTTCTTCTTTGATTTTGATAGAGGAAATCAAGTCTGATACTCCAACAAGCAATTGGCTAACTGCAAAGAGTGGCAGAAAGAAGAGGTGTCCTTATACTAAACACCAAACACTGGAATTAGAGAAAGAGTTCTTATTCAATATGTATCTCACTCGAGAGCGCCGTCTAGAGATCAGTAAGAGCGTAAACCTCACTGACAGGCAGGTCAAGATTTGGTTTCAAAACCGCAGAATGAAGCTCAAGAAGATGAGCAGAGAGAACCGAATCCGGGAACTGACCGCTAATCTGACCTTCTCTTAAACCCTAACCCCGGGGGGACACCAGTGAGGAGTGGGCACAGCACCGCCACTTGCTAAAAGCAGGAGAGACTCTGGCAAAACCCGGCATTTTCCAGTTTTTTGTTTCGTTTTGTTTTATTTTCTGATAGAATGTGACTCTTCGTCCTTCTTTTAGCGCTGCAAGTGAATATGTATTACTATGATGAGTATATATAAAACCTAGCACGTGTAATTTATTTTTGTTCTCATCGTAATGCAGGGTAACTATTATTGAATATTATCATTTGGTCTTAACTTATTGGAACTGTCGAACATCCAAGCAATGTGACTTTTTCATGTTTTTACTAACAAAATGGTATTTATGTGGGGCTGTTACACGGACCATAACATTTTGAGTACATTCAATACTTTCAGAAAAAGAGCAGGGGGAAACTGGGGGCGGGGGGAAAGAGAAGCACATTATAATGTAACTATTCTCGCAAATGAACTTAGAGATTGTCCTTCGTAAAATGGAATATTTCCTTCTTCTCCATTGTAGACATTTCCTTGTGGTGCATATGTGGAATAGTAGTCGTTCAGAAGCAAACTGTCCTTCTTGTGCATGTTCTGTTTGCATGTATAATGCAATAAACTCTGTAAACTACTGCGGTTCCTTTGGTTTTCTACAAATGTTTAACGCAGAGATCCAGGTTGGTGTCCTGATCCTTCTCTATCCACAGCTTTTTGGACTGGTGTACCTTCTTTACCGTATTCTGGTCTTTGTGTGTGTCTGCCTGGTTTTCTTTCTTTCTTTTCCTCCATTTTTCCCCCTTCCTTTTTTTTTTTTTTATTTTTATTTTTTTAGGGGTAGAGTGGAGACTGGGCCGGGAAATCATGTAAACCTAATCAATTTATAAATGTCTGTAAACAATTGATTCATTGATAAAATGTTGTGTAATGTTCACAGTCTGACAAACTGAATGAAAAAAAAAAAGAGAGAGAGAAAGGAAAAAAAATGTTGTAAAATATTGTGGCTTAAACAGGGCGTCCTCATCCAATCAACTCGTAAATGGTAAGTGATAAAAAAATCTTTCTTCTACAAGCTGTCAGGAATATGTGTGTCATTTTATTTGACGTTCGTATGTTGATTTAAAAAATATCAGTCACTGCGTGCTTGCAATGTGTAGGCTTTGATTTCGTGTCTTTGCTCGCTAAAAAAAGAAACACAACAAAAAAAAACAAAACAAAATAAAACCCAAACAACTCCAAGAAACACAACAAATGCAAAGCTGGGTATAAGTAAGTGTTAAGGAGCTCAGGTTTTGGTCGGCTCAAGAGCTTTCAGAAGATGGTGAATGGAAAAATATTCCCTCAAAATGTTCCCAACATCTGGCAAGGCCGGCTTTTTTGAGCAGAAATGCTCCCTAGCCTGCTTACAAAAGTACACCAGCCTCTTCAGACCTGCTTTTGTCACCCTGCACCGTTTCTGTTTGCTCAGAGCTTGTTTTATTTCGCGCAATTCCATTTTAGTAGCACACATCCAGTTAATGACGTTCACGACTCTTAACCCTTTCTGTACATAGCTGAAAAATGTTATTAGCAGGGCTCTGCGCTGGAAGCTGAGGAAGGGCATGCGTGTGTGAGAGCGGGTGAATGCCCGTGTGAGCAGAAATACTAAGGAGAAAAGCAAATGTCTTGCAAATGAACATGACTCCAAATTGAAGTGCAAATACTTGGACATACTTTCACCTTCAAACGGTACTGGAAAAACAGCATGGCTACTGTTGGCGCTGGGAAATCAGCTCACTCACAGTCAACGCCCGTTCCTCCTCTAAACTGTTTCTAAATCAAGAAATTAAAAGCAAGATAGTGCCAATGTTGTCCTACTTGATGACAGATCCTGCTCATAATTCTATTGGTGGCATTCTGTTTGCTCTCTTGCCGCTGATATTTAATTTAAGCCAATACTTCCTCATGCTCACGTTTATTCATAGGGCAGAAGTATATATTCCTCAAAGCAAGGCATAATCATTTTGAAGCTGCGAGAGCTGCAAGCACTTAGGTATTTTGTGCTTGTTGTCCTTTCGAAAACAGCAAAGCGATGCCCCAAAAAACTATTTATATATTGCATACATTTAAACGGCCTTTTCTTTTCCTTTAAAGATGCTCGCTACATCACCAAAGAAGTTTCGGCAGTGGGAAGTAAATTTCTGACTCCATACCAAGTGTTTAACGTATATAAAAAAGGAGGCTCACTCTAATATTCCTACTTTACCACCTTGTATCTGTGTGAAGCGAGGGCAAGTTCTTCGCCATACCACAAACCCTGCTTCTAGAGAACAGTGTAAGACAAGTTATAAAATCGCAGAAGAAAATGCTAAAGTCAGATGACCAA